AATCAACAATCAGCTGCAGCTCCCCTAGAGCAGCCCAGCCACCTTTAAAACACTAAGCCTCTTAGTAGCCTGTCAGCCACCACGTGGGAGCAACAGCTTGCCACAGCTTTATTTCGCAGATAAACCTTTGTACTTTTCCAAAGAAATCCTTATAACCTTGCTTTTTCTCCCTCAAGATAAGATTTTTCCATGCCTCCTAGATCCTACTTCTGAAGCAGGATACTGGCAGTTCTTCTGAAGTGCAGTGCCACATAATCAAGGCCATGCACTGGAACTGTAGCAAGAGCATGGGGACAAAAACTCAGTTGGGAATGGAGAACAGTCCCAGACTAGCCCAATTCATCCATGAGCACTGCCACACACTGATAACGTACATGCTCCAAAACAGAGCAAAAGGGAAGGAAGTACAATTTACTCATAGGTTTCTGATGGAATGACAGGCTAAAGCCACATGACTGCGCACTGCACAGTTAGTAACTCTCTCCAGTTTGAGGACACAGATTTCATCAATTAAAGCACCAAGAAGGTGCCACACAGTGCTAACACAACAGCTTGTCCAGCCCAGTCCAGCAGCAAGTACCAGACCATGGTGCTTCAAAGGAAGGACAGCCAAGCCCCAATTATGCAGTTCCTCATAAGCACTGCCGCTCCCTCTACAGAGCACAGCCTTTGAGGGATTTATTTCTGCAGCTCAGGATACCTCATTAAAATCCAGACTTTCAAACCCAAGCACCGTTAGTAAAATCAGTTATTCCCCATTGTAACGCTGTGGATAAAACACTAGGAAAAACAGCCACCTGAGGGCTTCGGCGTGCTCTGCACCCACCGCTCCTTTTGAGGAGGGCTTTTCCTCCCGCCCCTTGTGTACGGCATAGAAGCCGCAGCGGGATTTCCTCATGTGTATGCCAGAGCCACGGTAAAACATAAAACCCAATAAACTCCATTTCCTCAAGTTTTGGGCATCGCAGCCCCTTTTCCAGCGGCGCGGACAGTACCCTCTGGGAGTTAAAGCCTACCTGGCGATCTATACGCTTTTATAGGGGGTCGTGTCAGGGAGTCTGGGGTCCCGAAGTGAAGCTCGTCCCCTGAAACGAGAAACGAGTGAGGGGCGCGGCCGCGCAGCTCAGCTGAAGCCCGCTCGAGGCTCGGGCCTGACCGCCTTCCCAGCGCACCAGCCGCGTGTTCAGACTCGCCGGGACCCCGCGGGGTTTCCAGCGGGGCAACCCCGTCCCAATGCCCCCCTCCCGTCCCCAGTGCCCCGGTGGGGAACCACAGGGCCGGCCAGCCCGCCCGCCCGCGCCGCTCCGCGCCTCCCGCCACGCCCTCAACCGCAGGATTCACCGCGCGGCGCTGCGCCCGCCCGCGCCGCTCACCGTCCAGCGCGTCGGGCCGGGCCGCGCCATCCACCTCATCCTGGGGCCCGTCGGGCCGCGCCGCCACCCGGGGACTCTTCCGCCGCCGCTTCAGCCCGGCCTCGTCCGCCGGGGACACGCCGGGGCCGTCCACCGGGGCCGCCTCATCCTCGCCGCCGCCCAACATCCCGCCCGCCGTCGCGCCGCGCCGCCGGCCCCTGCCCCGGCCTCGTCCCCGGCCCCGCGGCCGGCCCCGCCCGGTGCCGCTGCTGCTGCCGCCCTCCCGCGGCGGCGGGGGCGGCTCCGCGGGGCTCCCTTCCCGCGGGGCGGGACCGGGGCCGGCCCCCTCCGCTTCCGCCCGCGCGCGGAGCGCCCGCCGCGGCGTCACGTGATACAGCGGCCGGTCCGACATGGCCCGGGACCGACCGGGACACACCGGGAGCGGCACCGGGATCGGGAGCGGCACCGGCGGGAGGAGCCCCGGCAGCGGCCGGCCCGCGCTGCCGCCCCCCAGTGAAAAAAATGCGGGCCGGCCGCGGCTCCCCCGGCCCCGCGGGGGCAGCTCGGGCGGCCTCGCTCCCGCCGCGGGCCGTTCCGTGTGCCGCTGTCGCACCCGAGCGAGCGGGGCGCTGCGGCCTTCCTCGGAGGCGTAAAACCATGTCGAATAAGCACAAGTGTGAACTAAAAAATGCCCAGAGGGGTTTTGAGGGAGATAAAATCCTCTGTCGCTGTTAACATGCTGCACTAAACATCTGTTGCCCAGTGTGGGGGTGGTTATGGTTAATGGGATCCAGAAAGTCTCACTAGACATTTCTCTTTCCCCTTTTGTTCAGGTGCATTACTGGTAAACGGGGATTTTACAAATCATGGAATCACAGAATGTACTGAGTTGGAAGGGACCCACAAGGATCATCAAGTCCAGCTCCTGGCCCTGCACAGGACAACCCCAACAATCCCACCTTGTCCCTGAGAGCATTGTTAAAACACCTCTTGACCACTGCCCTGGGGAGCCTGTTCCAGTGCTCAACCATTTGAATGCATTCTTGATAAACCATTTTTACCCAGGGATGTGGTAGAGTTCCTATGACTGGAGGTTTTCAAGATGCAATTGGACATCGTCTCTAGACTACTTTTCTAATGAAAGTTTGGACCGGATCACCTTCTGAACTTCCTTCCAACCTGAGCTGTCCTATGTTTCTGTGATGCCACTAAGCAAAGAAATAGCAACTTTCTTATTTCACAAACACACATTTTCTGAACCACCACACAGATGCTCACTGGGCCAGTGAGCAGTTCAGGATCAGTCTGGAAATGAGTTGCTAAGCAAATTGGGCCCCTTTTACAAATTCACAGAATCCCAGTATAGTTAGGGTTGGAAGGAACTTCCAGAGATCATCCAGTCCAACCCACCCAAAGCAGGGTCACCTGGAACAGGTGACATGGGAATGCATCCAGGTGGATTTGGAATGTCTCCAGAGAGGAAAATTCCACCAACTCCCTGGGCAGCCTGTTCTAGTGCTTTGCCATCCTCAACATAAAGTTCTTCCTCCTACTGAGGTGGAGCTTCTTGTGTTTTAGTTTTTACTCCTCATCCTGTTCCCGTGCACCAGTGAACAGAGTCTGGCACCATCTGCTTGGAACCTGCCTTTGAGATATTTACATGCTTTGATGACATCCCCTCTCAGTCTTTTCTCCTCCAGACTCAACAGGCCCAGCTCCCACAGTCTCCTCATAACAGAGGTGCTGCAGACCCCAAATCGTCTTTGTGGCCTCCACTGGACCCTCTCCAGCACCTCCTTTCTTCCTCGTACTGAGGAGCCCAGAACTGGACACAGCACTGCAGATGTGGCTTCTCTAGGGTCAAGTAGAGGGGCAGGATCACCTCCTTCGACCTGCTGGCCACACTCTTCCCAATGCACCCCAGGATCCCACTGACCCTCCTGGCCCCAGGGCACACTGCTGGCTTACGGACAACTTGTCATCCACCAGCACTCCCAGGTCCTGCTCAGCAGAGCTGCTCTCTGGCAGGTCAGCCCCCAACCCGTACTGGTACTGAAGGATTTCTACACACTGAAAAAGTCAGGATTGAGGAAGATGATGCTGACCCCTGTAATTGCAGTAACTTCATCTACAATGTTCCAGAATATGTGTGCTCACATTTGGGATGTTACTTGTTTTGCAGGGTTGTAAGTGTGGTAGGTGTGTGTGTGTTCTTTGCACCCCAGCAGAAAGCTGGGTGAGGGAAGTGCCACTCAGCCTTCCCTTCTGTGACTGTCTTCTCTGTACATTCATTTCAAAATAAAAACTATTTTAATGCTTTACTAACACACCGTAAATGTTCCATATTTACCCAGAAATTAATATTTTTGAGATGTTATGCATACTTCCTACTGTACCAGCAGGAAATACTGTCATTCTTTTCATACTTAAAAGCAGAACACACACATTGAGCAATGTTTTCCAAAGCAAAAATAAAAGAGGATGTAACAAATACCATATCAGTAGGTTTTGAAGTACAGCTGAGCCATCCATGCAGTTCAAATGAAGTAGAAAAAAGACCAGTCAGCTCATGATTCCAGATCAGGGGAACTCCACCTACAGTATCACTTTATTTTCAAGTTTCCAAAGAAAGTTACCAAAGTATTACCTTGAGTAAATATTTCCATAGCATCTCCTTTGTATTTCACCTACTCACCATTGATTCTTCTACAGATTGAGAGAAAATGTTATCCCTATTTAAGTTAAATGCTGTCTCTGTGCTACTGCTCCTTGTGCTGATGCCTTGCCCCTGTCATGCTCTGTGCTGCTGCTTTCCATGATACATGTCCTGGGCAAGGGGAAATAGGGAAACAGTTGGAACCAACCTGTCTCCTGTGCTAGCACTGCAATTTAAAACACTTTTTTTCGGGAAAACATTGCCCAAATGAGGCCAGAGGCAGATAAACACACTCTCAGACCTTCCCCCTGGTTGCAGTCTTTGGACCACACTGAAAGGGGACACTGGGGGGGGCTCCCCATCCTTTTCCCTCCAGGCTGATGCTAAAACCCCTCCATTTCACATCCTTCAGTCCCCCAGCCTCCCTGCACTGGCATAGTGTGACATTTCCAGAGTCTGGGCTTTGCTACCTACGTGTTTGCATTGTTTTTCTTGTGGTACTTTTCATAAATCAACTCTCAAACCGGTTTCCTCCTCGCTCTCATTTCCTTGTTTCAATCCGCAGCGCCATTACCTAACGCAGGAAGCTGCCGCTCATCCAGTGTGCCTGGAGGAAAGGGCACAACCACAGAGTCGTAGAAATACAGCCAAAAAAAGGAGAAATTATTGTTTCCTGAGCGCTCCGGAGAACGCCTGTGGGAAGGAAAACTACGGCTCCCATCAGGCTGCCGGGAGCCGGGGAAGGGCAGAGTTCACCGTCACGTTTCCAGCGAAGGATTCGGGAGGGTGTTGGTGTCCTGCCACCACCAGAGCCAAAGGGCCTCTGGGAAGGGCGAGCGGAAAAGCCAACTCTGCTTTTCTTCACCGCCCTGACCGGCTCCTAGCCTGCCCGGGTAAGCGTCCGACTCCACGGGACACTTTGTTTCCTTGACTTCCTTCTCCTGCCGGAGCGTCACCAGCGGGAACAGCGCGGGGAAGGGAGGGACGGGAGCCGGGCGGCAGAGCAGCGATTGTACCCCCCAGCCCTCCAAATCGCGTCTCTAAGCGAGAAAAGTCCGCTGTAGGGGCAGTGCAGGGGGGGTGAAGTGCCCCCCTGTGCTGGAAGAGCTGCTGAGGACGCTCCTGGGCTGGGATTTTTGTACAGAAATCCGCGCGAACCTCGGGGAAAGTTCTTCGGGAGTTTTCCGAGCCGCCTGGCTGCGCTTCTGAAAGCCACCAGCTTTCTCGGGTTACACCAGCGAGCCTGGCTCCGTCCTGTCCCAAAAAAGCGCTTTAGCAGAGTGGGAAGGATCTCTGGAGGGGTGCAGGAGAGCCAGGCTGCGGGGTTCGGGCTCACAACACCCGGGCAGGGCTCTGCTGAGCCCAGGGGGTGTTTGGGCCAGCGGCCTCACCTTCGGCACCACTGCCTCCTGATCCAACGTGCTGGAGGCAGGAAGGTAAGGAGAGCAGGGTCATTGCTCTGTGTGGACCTGACTGTGAGATTCCAGGTGCCCTGCCAAACCCCAGGCTCCGGGCCTGCCATCTCGGAGTCCACCCGGATGAGAAACCGGTGCCTCACCCCACTGGCGCGTCCCGAGACAAACGCGGTTTGCATTAACTCCTGAACTAATTGTAGTTTGATGGGAAGCAAAATAGCTGACAGTCCTTGGGCTGAAGGTTCGTGGTTATGGGTGACGCCCACCCCTTTTCACCTTGGGAATCATGGAGGGAGGAGCTTTCTCCTCCACCGTGAATCACCGCTCCTGTGTTTCTGCTTATCAGGTTTATGGGCGTTTAGTTGGAATTCCCGAGACCGGGACGGGATGGTGTCTGTGAGGGGGGCAGGACTTGGTCAGCCACTCGAACAGCGGGGAGAAACAGCTCCGTGTGACCGGAGGAGAAAGTGAAACGAAACGGTGCAGAAGCCAGAGCTCCGGGGGAAAAAGAAAATGGAAGAGAATCCAAGGGAGGATCTGTCTGTAGGTAAGGGAATCCCTATGCTTACTCCATCCACTAGGAAGATTCCTTTGCCAGAAATTTTTAACAGTGACATGGGAAACTGAAGCAAAATAAAAATATAATAATCCTGTCTTTTGCAGGCCAAGAAAAGCAAGATGCTATGTTTTTTTAATAGGGTGAGAGATGAACAAGTTACTTTCAGTTTTAGATTCCCATCTGCAACAGGTTTAGACTCTGTGTCCAGGATGGCAGCACAAGGAAGGCTAAAGATCCAGGCTCGGAGAGCTTTCCTCCATGCACCCCAATGCTTCCCATCTACAGATGCCTAAATAATAAGCCAGTTTTCCACCACCTATGGATGAGAAACCTCTGAAGGAGACAGGGCAAGGATAGTTTGTGTCCAGCTTGAATAGCAGGATATCTCCAGGTGTTGCAGTGTGGAGCATAGGCCTGAAAAGACCCCTGCCAGAAACAAGTCAGGGCATGTCAGAGCTAAGTTGGGACTGCTTAGACATTAAGGCTGTGCTGACCAAAAAGAAACAATAAGTCAAGTAGAACCGAGACAAGAAAAATTTGCAACTAGAGATAGGATGTAATCTGGTGGTGGGATTTAATTATACGATGTTTACAGTTAGGTAAATGGATTAATACTTGAATATAATCAAAGTGATATGTAAGTTTATGTTTAACTGCTATGTCTCCTGTGAAATGTAAAACCAATCATGTAACCTTGCTTGGAAAATAGTATAAAAGATGCGTTCAAAATGTGGGTCTTCGGGTACCTGTCTTGGGACAGGAGTCCACAGGGACCCCGGGCCCTGAATAAAGCACCGCATAAACTGACACTCTGTTAGTTTGTGTTCTCATTACGGGCAGCACAGGTTGCTCATGTTTCAGTTTCTGCTGTGTAGTTACATTCTGGAGCTTTGTTATGACAATATACATACGTACCAGTATGTCAGTGATACCGTGATGCCATCACCAGCTCAGGTCTGTCCTAGGCAGTCAGAAGTGTTCCTGTAATAATCAGCAACAAAGAATGTAAAAATCGTATCCTGACACATGCCAAGTGCACCTTTTTATCTCTTTTCAAATTAGATGGAAGTTCCTTGCCGCTTTCATCAGTCTTTATTCTAATTTTAGCATAGTCACTTCTGTTATTATAATGCTTGATCATTCATAAGCAATTTTTCACAAATAGCGGCTGAAATTTGAGCTGCACTGTTTGATTCTTTAAGATCTAGAATATGTCACAAATGCTCATGTTCAGCCTCCAGATTTCTCTACTGAATTATGCTCCAATGTTTGCTTTTAGTTACATGTTGCCATAGCTCTTAAGGAGAGCTGCAGGACAGGAGCAGAGAAGGAGCACAAGCAGAATTATCATTTACATTCAGACAGATGCTTGAAGTGAATTGGCTTATCTGTACTCAACATCAGCCTTAGAAATTCTTAAAATCCATCGCTATCTGTGAAAACCCCTTATCTGTGGAAGATGTAGTAACATATCCCACCACTTAGTGAAGGAGTTGCCTGCCCACCCCACTGAGGACATAGGCTGGGATTTAGTTAACTTTAACACAGCAGCCTGTACAGTGCTGTGGTTTGGATTTGTGGGTTTATGGAAGAAGATGCTGATAACACAGAAGTGTTTTGGCTATTACTGAAAAGTGCTGGCACAGCATCAAGGCTTTCTCTTCTCCCCACCCTTCCCTTGCCAAGGAAATAACCTGGGGTGGGTTTATTGGGCAGGGACCCAAGGTAGGCAAAAGGTTGTTGAATACAGTGTAGCATCATGCTCAGCAGCAAAAATGGGCACAGGGAGAAAGGGGGATGGCTTCTTCCAAGGTGGCCATTGCTGGGAGACTATCCTGGCATCATTGTAGGAGGTGGTGAGTGCTTGCCTTTCAATCTGTCCTGATTCCTCACCCTTCCCTTCACTCATTCAGCTGTTTGGATCTCAACCCATGAGTTTTCTCTTCTGGTCACTTCTGGTCACTACTCCTTCCCCCGTCTCACTGGGGGTAGATGTTTCTGCAGTACCAGAGCTGGGAGTTTTAAGTTTGGTGGTAAAGCACTGGGCATTCCTGACTCCTGTGTGGCTCACTGGGCTTGTGAACTCTGATCCCAACAGCTGGGCCAGCCCAAGGTGAGGTGGGAAGCACAGCAGAGCATCCTGTGCTCCAAGAGCCCACCCAGGAAACACTGGAGCAGCAAGTGACAGGGACGTCTCAGACTTCCTGCAAACCAGAGGAGGACTCTTCAGTGCGTGAACCAACTGCTGGTGGAGAAGAGAAGACACTGCTGGGTTTAGCTGGCCCCACACTGGAGGAGGAGGCTCCCCTGGAAACTGAAGTATTGCTGGAAGAACCTGGAAAGACAAAAGATGGTGTCTCAGAAAGATCCCAGGAAGAAAAGGACTTGGATGAAGGTGAGTCTCTCCCCACCCCCGTGTACAGCATTTCCAAAATGCTGATAACCTGAGCCTTTGCTTACAGGAGGCAGAGCAGGAAGAAGAGTTGTTGGTTCTTGGGCTGAAAGAAACTAAGTGTAGGTCTGCAAATTTTATTCCCCACAGCTGGGCTGGCCCATGGTAAAATGGACAGCAAAGGAGACAACCCTGTCCACCAGGAAACACGGGAGAACCAGGAGACAACCAGTCAGTGTGAAAGCTCATGCAAAGCAGAGGAAGATGCTTCATCAGCAAGCAAGTCAGTGAGCTCTGACAGTGAAGTGACACATTTGGATGTAGCTGCCACGGAAGATGTCACCAAGGGCCTCTTGGCAGAGAGCACCACCAGTGCCCCTCTCCCAGTGCAGGAGCCAGAGGAGCACATAAAGCAAGAAACATGGGAGATCAGATCCCAAGGCATATTAAGGAAAAGACAGGGGACCAAAGGTGAGCTTGTGGCTGCATACTGATGCTCTTCCACTGTGCACATGCCTGCACTTCCCGTGGGCATCAGAGCCATGGTATGGTGAGATCCCTACTGCCCATTGTCAGTTTTCCAGAGTGAAGCAGGAAAGAAGGTATAAGAAATTAACTGGCTTCTCTCTTTCTCTCTCCTTTCACTCCCCCTTTTCTTTCTTTGAAAGGCATGAAACCACACTGCACTCTGCACGGTCTTTCTCCTTGCCCAGCCCCCAAAACACAGAGCCAAGGCTGAGAGCAGTATTAACCCAAAGCAGTATTGACTTCTAACTCTTCCCTCAGCTGGGAGCTCCTGGCAGCATTTGCCTTTCTTACTACAGCTCATTTTACCTGTTCCCTCAACAGTGAGTGTCACATTTCTTTCTCTTACTGCAGGGCACACAGCCCCAAACCCAGAGTCTCAGTCCTGCCTGCAGACCGTCACCACCCAAAACATAGACCAGGAGAAGCCCAAAAAGTCCCTCGTGCTGAAAGGTGAGGAAAAGAAGCTTCCCTTGCATGTTACTCACCGACCAGAAGGCACTGATCTACCAGGAACAAGTAATGAAGCACATTTAATTCTTCTCTCTTGGGACCTTTCAAAGCCTTTTCTGAGGGTTTGAGGGAAAAACCATCCCCTTAAATACAGGCCCAGTTTCAGCAGCTTTCCCTCCATCTCTCCAGCCTCAAAAGAAGGCACACATCATGTTCAGAGTGCTGGAATGTTCTGGGAGGTCTGGGGCTCCTACACTGACAGTCCACCAGTCCTGCTCTGTGTCATGGGGCTCTAAGCGGGACACCACACGTCTCCTGTTAAAAAGGGACCCTGCTTTGGCATGGAGAGGGACACAAGCTGTTGCCTGGACCTTACTGTCCTCTGTTTTCTGTGCAGAACCACGATGGCCTTTGTTCACACCACAAGGTTCAGAGGAGGGCGGTGGTCACAGCACTTTAGCTGGGTCAGGCACCCCCACGTGGTGTTCTGAATGGCCACAAACCTTAAAAAAAACAGAGGAGGGGGAAGGAGAAGGAAGCTTGTGGCCAGCTGCAGTTTCCTCAGGAAATTTTGCACCAAGCTGTAGCCTTGATTCCATCCCTGGAGCTGCAGCCCCCTCGCCTGGTGTGTAGGAGCATGGGTTTCACAACAGTGCCTTCACCACTCCTGGCCAATCTGATCCACTTCCCCAGAGCAGGGGGGCAAGTCTTAAAGGGGAAAAAGAAAATAGCTACTTTCCAGCATGTCACTGCAGGTCACTTGTGACAGACTTCTGTTCCCCTTCCTGTGTCTCTTCCCTCTTGAACAGGGCTTGGCATCATGGGCCTCATATTGCTCGGCTTCTGCATATTCTGCTTTGGCAACCCAACCTCCAGTTCCCAGCAAGCCCTCAAGAACGCCACGGAGGCATTCCTGTTCCAGTTCGACCAGCTGGAGAAAAGGTTTCCAGGGCAGAGCTCTCACCTGTGGAATCGTGGGCGCAAGGTCCTGAAGAAGCACCTGAACTCATCCCACCCCACACAGCCAGCCATCATCATCCTGACAGCCGCCCGCGCGGGAGAGCGGACCTTGCGATGCCTTAGCACCCATGTGGCCAACTCCTACGCAGCTGCCCTGCGTGCCAGCACGGTGCAGATCGATGGCAGGAATAAATCTGGGCTCCACAGTGACCGGGCCAAGCGGGAGGTGGACTTGGAGCTGAGCTCAGCATTCCAGGCTGGGGGCCGTGCCGCGGTGATTCATCGCTTCGAGCTGCTGCCGGCAGGGGCCACCCTCATCTTCTACAAGTACTGTGACCACGAGAGCGCGGCATTCAAGGACGTGGCCCTGCTGCTGACTGTGCTGCTGGAGGAGGAGGTGCTGGAGACCCACATCAGCCTCCCACAGCTGGAAGAGAGGGTCCATGACTTCCTCTGGGATAAGTTCGTCACCACCAAGACCCCCAGCTCCTATGACCACATGGACTCTGACAAGCTGAGTGGGCTGTGGAGCCGCATCGCCCACCTGGTCCTACCCATCCACCCGGAGCAGAGCATTGAGAAGGGGGGCTGCCATGCCCACGCCAAACCCTAGGCACAAAGGCAGCCACAGCCCTGGAGAGGGTTGGAAAGATGGCCTTGGCTGGCTCTGGTGCAGGCAGAGGCACAACCAGTGTTATTTCTCTTCACTTTGTTTCTCGTATCATCCTGGGAAGAGTTTGACAGGTACAAGTTGATCCACGTCGTTTGGGCAGCTGATGCTTGGAGGTGATAGATCACACACTTCCTTCTGGCAGGTGGGAAGAGTGAGAAATTTAGGCTGCTAGTTGCACAGGGGAACATCAATGTGTGGAGAGGCAGGAGGGAAAAACAGGACTTTGCAGGTAGTGTTTCTATCAGGAAATACACGAATAACGTACACAACAATGGACAGAAAGATACTGCAATTCAGTAGCTCTTTCATTCAGAGATTCCCTAAACCACAAGATCAACCACAAGAAATGTCAGGTTTTCAGCACTTAAGACACTGCACTAACAGAGGGCATCCCATATGCCAGAGAACAAACTCCAAAACCAGAGAGCAATGAAACATTTTGCTGTTGCTTGGATAGAGTGAAGCCTCAAAGGATTACACAGCTAAAAGAATAAGAAATACAGTGCAACTTAATGCTACCTCTTTTTTTAAAGAATTCCACTCAATCCCTTTGCCACACAAAGTTTGTGACTCTTTCCTTGGGCTGGTGCATCAGCTTTGGTCCTACAGGACAGATTGCTCTTCACCCAGATCTCTGATCTGTGTGCAGGGTGGGAGCCTCTGCCAGCCTCTCCCCAGGGGACTTTTCCTAATGAATGTAGATGTTAACATTGATAATTCAAACCACGTAACGTAGCACACCAAGTCCTTGCCCTCCAGAGTTACATCTGCCTCCCTGCCAGGCGGATGGAGCTCTGGAATACAGTAAAGCAACTAGAAGAGCTGATAAAGAGAAAATCTCTACCATTAACACTACAAATCCTTAACAAAGCAGGTTGCTTTCTTACTGTGCCTCCTCTTCTGCATCCTAGGAAGAGAAATCCAAGTCCTAGAGACACTGTGGGGCAGAGCAGCCAGCTCAGGGAACACCTGGGGGATAGGTGCTGGTTACAGCATTTATTATAACCCAACAGGCAGCCCTGGTGTCAGCCCCATGTGCCTGTGGAGAAGGAGCAGCTGTAGCAGATCATGGCTCATTTCCAGAGTGCAGCACAGACTGAGGCCTTGCAGAGCTGGGTCTGTATCTGAACGAGAACAAATCGAGGACACAATGGTCTTTCTCTGAAGTGCTCCTCACAGCACTGGCCTTGGATGGGTCTCCTGCCAACAGTGCCTTGCTGATCTGCCCCATCAGTGGCTGGGCTGAGGCACAGCCCTGCACCCTAAAACCACAGTCTGTCTCCTTTCCCTCCCACCGCATGCCTTGACCTGTCTCAGGAGATTTGTGGCCATTAACATGGAGGAGGGGACAAAACAAAGGAAGAGGGAGAGTTATTTGTTCGCGTTCTGACCAAAGAACAGACTTTTTGGTTGGTTGGAGACATGAAGACGAGGCCATGGGGGTTTTAACCGTGACAAACACTGGGCTAGATGTGAGAGTTCCCTGCTGGAGCCCAACATCAGCAGGGCAGCCCAGGGGATGGTTCTGCACAACATACAGGTTGCTTCCTCCCCTCCCTCCTTTCTACTGCTATACACTACTATGGTAACAGAAAACACTGTATCCTGCTCTGCATGGTTCAGTGTGGGTGTTGATGTAAGAACCAGCAGAGCATTAATCATGGTCTGCCGATATTTTGGTGGAAATCTCTATTTTAATGTTATCTCGCTCCCAGTTTCACATACTGTGTTTGCAGTGCCTTGCCAAGGGATGCAAAGGCAACTCCACTCTGCCTGGGCACATCACTGCATCACCCACCTGAGCTCTTCCAATACAGAAATATTTTTATGGCCTTTGAAAGACAGAATATCTTCTTGCTTCCTAAACAGGACTTCTATTTAAAAATAAATGATGAAATTGTGAAAGAAACCAGCCAAGTGAGATTGAAGTCTTACCTTATTCTGTTCTTCTTTTCCTAGCTATTTTCATTAAGCAAAAGAGATCGTCATATTGGACAAAGTTCTATTTAGGTCAGGGCTGTAGTTGTGCAAACGAAGTGAATATTTGGCTTTTCCTGGAAAAACTCCAAATAACATTTTTCTCAGTTGTTTGGGACAAATATTTACAGCTTTTCCAACTAAGCCATAATTAAAAACAAACCCCCAAAGACTTGCTGAATTCAACCCAGGCTGAAACACATGGGGGGTTTGCGTAATACTCAGTGATAATAATGAAACTGAAATCCACCAACAACTGAAATGTTTTAGAAATACAGAAAGCAAACATTTCTCATTTTAACAGATCGATTCCAGTTGATGTCCCACAACCTCAGCACACACTAAGTTTTACTTTTGTGGTGAAATACTTTGCCCAGCTCTGGCCTAAACAGAGAGAAGGCTGGGGGGAGTTGGGGAAAGCAAAAAAAAGGAGGATTTACCCTGTTATTCTGGATATTCTTCAGTCCCTGTCCAGGCCCTGACAACCTAAATAGTCATCATATTGGCATCTGCTTTCACATAGATGTTTATGTGATCAATTGCCAGAGGTAAACATCACTCATCTCTTGTCTGATGCCAGAGGACAAGATTTGGTCCTAGCCCAAAGATTCAGATGAAAATCTGGTGTCACCACTGGATGCCACCAGTGCTGGTCCTGCGGTCCCTTCAGGGGGGGGAATAGGACCCCCAGCAAGGTTTCCACCACGCCCTGTGCTCCAGCACGGCTTCCCTGGGGCACAGGCACAGCAGCTGCAGAGCCCCTGGCAGGGGAGATCAGCAGGTGACACAGAGATGTCACAGCCAAGAGCAGATAAACCCACAGCAGCTCCGGAGGAACTATAGTTCCTCCTTCCCGTCAGTTCTCTGATGGCTGTGACAGGTCAGCACAAGGCCAGGATGGAGTAGGACACGGTCCAGCTTTGCAGCCTCACAGGTAATTATTCCTCCCAGGCACCAATCCATCACCCCACAGCTCATAACCTCTCTGCATCTACCTCTGCTCACACACACACCTCACCCTAGCAGAGCAAGGCCATGGGTTGGGCTGGGGTTTCTCAGCTGCCTGCTTTTATGTCAATGCTAAAACAAAATTCCTTCTCACGTCCTTATGTACCAAAAAAGAGAAATTAAAAAAAATTCTTTTTCTTTTTACTTGTCCTATTAAACAACGCATCATCACCCCCAACTCTCTCCCCTTTTTGTAGTCCCAATTCTGCAGGGAAGGAGGTACTGCCACAAGGTGCTCAACAACCTTAAAAACCACCTTGAAAATAACACAGTAGCTCAACTGAGGGGCAAAACCAGTTTGGAAGGCCAGTCTGGACTGCTCGACCACAAAACTAGGGCTGATTATCCATGTAACTCCACTGCTGCCCTGCGAGGTGACCTTACCTTGCCACCCCCAACCCTGTCCCAGTGACAGGCACATCGTGCCACATCTCTTCTTACCCCTTAACACCAGCATGGGCTGAAGCTGGCAGAGGCAGGATGCAGAGAGAAGGAATGAACCCAGCTCAGCCACGTCTCTCTTGTTGAGTTTAATTTAACCCCTGTGAGCTCGTCTGCAGCTTAACCCTCCTGCAGCTCCGTGCACAGGCTCTGCTGCCACAGGGCTGCTCCCTCGGGGGTCACTCTGAGGCCAACAAAACCTCCATTGTAAGAGAGGTTTGCAGATAGTAAGGGCTTAAATCTGTTTTCATCATCTCCCACCTTCGACTCTGCAGGGGGAGCCGCCGCACAATGAACCTCACAAAGGATCTTGGTCTCAGCCTGTGGGATGAGGATCTGAGAGCCTGCGATGAAAAGGCTCGAAGAATTCAGCTTGCAAGTGCGTTCCCCACACAGGGAGGGGGGAAAGCCATGGCAGGCATCCCGCTGGGCTCTCCCCGCTGTGGCTGGACGGTGCAGTTACGCTCAGGCGGAGGAGAGGCTCTGCAGATCCCTCACGAGGGCACTCGAGAGCTGAGGATCCTCTCCTTTCCAGAGACAACACACTTTGATTCCTTTCCTGACTGTGTTTGGAAGCTTTATTTGAGAAACAGCTGGCTGATGGATTCAATGAAACAAGAGGTTGAAATAATCTCAGGCAACTTCCAGGAGGCAGGGAATGACTACGAATCAGTCCCCTGCAAACAGCCCACATGTCTGAAGGTGGCTGGCACTGACAGAGGAAAACACTGGCTGTTGAGAGATTCTTGGGATGAAACCACATGGCTCTGCTCTTGGGTGCTCTGCTCAGCCTCGTGAACCCTTTAAACGCTGCCTGGTGGTAATATAGACCTGCTTCCTGTTAACAAGGCATATGGAACTGGGAAGCAACTGGGGAAAAGCCCCTTGTAATGGTAGGGCTGAATGCAAAAACACAAAGGGCTGCCAAGCTCACATGTAATATGTCCCACATCAGAATAAGCTGGCCCAGTTAGAAAGTGGCAGCTTTACTTTATGGTCTAAATAAAGACAGGAGAAAAAAAAACCGAATTGGGAGAGGTGGATTGGAAATGATTATGAGACTGGAATTAAGTTGTGGTGGCTTTGTTAGCAAGGTTTAAAATAATTAATCCATGGCACTATCAAACCTTCCCATACACTTAGTGTGGGAGGTGTCTCAGGACTACAAGGGAACATTCATCTCCCGTGCCCTTCATCCCACATTGACAGAGAGTATTCAAAACCTCCACTGCACCTCGAGAAATAACAGCACTATTTAAATTCAGGATGTGAAATGAGAAGCAGCATTTTACACTGTCTTGTTGCCTTCCACACTGCGCTTGTATCAATCCTTGTGAGCACAAGAGGCTCAGGAGTAAGGAAAGGGGATGAAAGCAGGACTAGTAAGAAGGGTCAGGAGAGAGAGGAGGCACAGAGGGGCCTGGAGGGGAGAGCATCACAGGCCATTTGCCCTGTCACGCTCCCTTAGAGCACCCCATGCAGATCTCTCTCTCCAAAACACCTCTGTACTGAGCTGCACTCTGTAGCCTGCTTCTGCCTGCCAGGGCTCCTGCTCTGACACTGGTTTTGGGAGGGGCTGAAGAAGATCAGATGCACTGAAACTCGCCCAGCTGGAGCCAGCCGGTCCCCCTTTTCTTCTTAGGCACAGCCTCTCCCCCACCTCCATGTCTCTCCTCAGCTTTGCTTATCTGGGGGGCAGGAACTGCCTCCAGAGGAACATTACACAGGGCTGCAGCAGGGCACGAAAGCCAGGAATTGACTCAGAAGCTTTTTGCCCCTCCCTGCCTTTGTAGAAGGCAGCTCATGGTGCAACCATGTGTTTTGTCAGCGCTCCTCACCCTCATTTTCTCTGCCTGGAGTGGATCAGAAGTGGATCAACTCCTCCTCCCCTGACCCCTGCCTGCCAGCAAACAGCTTTGATCAGGAGTCCCCGGCCTGCCCCCCCTGCTGACACTCCATCATTCCTCTCCCCTCCCTCCACCTTGAGGCTGAAACCCTTGCAGTGCAGAGTGCTGGAATCACCTCCCCACACTAATTACAGCACATCTGGCAGGCAGAAGCCGCTGCTCCCCAGCTGCCCGCCCCAGGCTGGGGACACCTGATGCCATTTCTGCACAGCCTGTGTCCACAGATCACAGCAGCCAACTCCCGGGATGGCCAAAGTGTGCCAGCATGGAGACTGGCAGCACCTGGCCAGGAGCTGCCTCACGATCACAATAACAGCAAGGGATGATCCAGAAAGGGGCAGAGAAAGTACCAGAAAGCAAATTCATTCATCTCAAGTTGCAGGCAGCATGATTCTCCCCCTGTACTCTGCTCTGGTAAGATTCTACCTGGAGTTCTATGCTCATTGCTGGGGCCCCCAACATAGCAGAAGGACATGAACCTGTTGGAGTGAGTCCAGAGGAGGCCACAGAGATGCTTCTAAGGGCGGGAGCACCTTTGCTCTGGAGACAGGCTGGGAGTTGGGGTTGCTCAGCCTGGAGAAGGCTCCAGGAAGACCTTAGAGCCCCTTCCAGTGCCTAAAGAGGCTGCAAGAGTCCTGGGGAGAGACTTTGGACAAAGGGGAATTGCTTCCCACTGACAGAGGGCAGGGTTAGATTGGATATTAAGAAGAAAATCTTCCCTGTGAGGGTGGGGAGGCCCTGGCACAGGTTGCCCAGAGAAGCTGTGGCTGCCCCATCCCTGGAAGTGTTCAAGGCCAGGTTGGATGGGGCTTGGAGCAACCTGGGACAGTGGAAGGTGTCCCTGCCCACGGATGAGATGAGCTTTAAGGTTCCTTCCAAACCAGACTATTCTGTAATTCACCCACCACCCCAACAAGAGCAGTTCCCCGTGTCCCGGGGGATGCTGCACTCTGTGGAACACAGGCTGCTCCAGCCCGGACAGAGGGATGCCTTGAGAAGCAGAGCTCGCCTAAAGAGGGCAGGAAGGAAGAATCGGGTGGCAAACGGGGTTTTGCGAGGGAGGAAAGGAGCGGAGGGCTCCGCTCGGGAGGATGGGTGGCTCCGCAGACACCTCTCGGTGCCGGGCCCGCAGCGGGGGCTCGGCAGGAAGGAGAGCGGGAGCCCTGGGAGCTCGGGGAGCGGCGGCAGCAAGGGCGGTGCGAGGGCCAGGCGGGGCGCGGCGGGGCCCGAGGAGCGCCCGGCCCCCCGTCCCATCCCCATCCCTCCATCCCCATCCCTCCGTCCCTCCCCCGCCGAGCGGCCGCGCCGCGGGTCGCCGCCCGCCACCCGGCAGGTTGTAAAGTCATTAACTCCCCCAGCCATGCCGGGCCGCGCTCCCCGGGCCCCGCCGCGCCCGCCGCCGCCGCTGGTGGGCCGCCGAGCCGCCTCCTCCTCCGCGGCAGCGGCAGCAGCAGCGCGGCATGGCCGCCGCTCCCCGCATTCTCCTCCTCCTCCTCCTCCTCCGCGCCGCCGCCCCCCTCGGCGATAAGGTAAGCGGCGCCGGCAGAGCCTCCCCCTTCTCCCCTTCCTGCCTTCCCTCCCTCCTTCCCTCCTTCCTTCCCACCCCTCGGGGAGCCGCGGCGGGGCAGGGAGGCAGCGGGGGTCCGACCCGCAGCCCCTCGCCCTTCCCCGCAGGTTTCAGGTTCCTGCCCTCCGGATCCCCCCGCGTCCTTCCTGCACTCCTGAGCTGCTTGAGAAGGGGGGTTTTGTCGCATTCCCGCGAACTGACCCCGAGGACCAGGCTGTGCCCTCGTGCCGTGCCTGGCACTTACAAAAGGGTGTGAGGATGCCGGAGGAGGGTCCCGCATCTCCGGAAGGACCATGGAGGAGCAGAGCCTTTCCCCACTTGGGACTTTGCCCAAAGCTGGAGGGGCTTCGCCCACGTTCGTCCCTTCACATTCATCTCTAGCAGAGGGTTGGCTCCAGTTTAGGACTGGAAACAACAGGTTTTCCCCTACCCCGTCCGTCCTGCCACCCCAGCATGGGTTTAGGCAGCTGCTTTCCCCGCTAACCCTGGGATGCATGTCCAGGCATCAGAGCCCCACACTCCCTGCTCTCTTCCGCAAAGGACCCCCTCAGCCTGGCCCTCCTCGTGGCACTTGTTTCACAGCAGCACCAAACCCCCTGTGCCAGTCCCCTTTTCCTTCTCCAGGCTCATCCTGGGAGAATCCCCAGCATTACTGTGGCAGAGCAGGCAGAAATCCCGGCTTTGTGGGGCACCAGCAGTGCCCCTGCCCTCACGGGTCACTGCGTGCATTGTGCCCCCCAAGGGGAGCACATCCAGATTTCTTTGCTGCCTAAGGAATTCTGCTCTGCTGAAGGAAGAGGAGTTGGGTTGTGTTTCCAACCCCCAGACCCATGGCTGGGGCAAAGCAAGCTCACATGAGCCATCTTAAAAACAGAAAAGACCAGACACTGCAGCTTCATTGGATAACCCAGGTTTGAGGAGCAGCAGTGTCTCCTGTCCTGGGGTTTGCCTTAACTTCGAAGCTTGAGTGTCTTATTTCCAATTTGTGTTTACCTCCACACACATCTGCAGCCTGTTCTGTTTACCCCTGAACTGCAGGGCTAAGTCAGAAACTTCAAGCAGAGCAAACTGGATCAGGATAAACCAATGTGAAGTCCTTCATTTGGGACTGACCTGGATGGACTCCTCCATCAACATGTGTGCACAAGCCTTGGCTGCTCATGGTTCTCCCTGCCCCCAGCAGCTGTGTTTGTACAACACCTAAGAGGAGGGTACCCCGGGTTGGGAGG